ATACTTAAAGCAGCTGTAACAAAAATACACGTCCCTTTTTAAGCTCCTTGCAACATCCTCAGCAACAACTTTTATGCAACGTCACCTCACGCCTATGAAGTCGATCGATTCGCGTCACGGGCTGGGTTGGAGGGCGTGAAGGTTGTGAAAAGAAAGGAGATCCATGATAGAGTTGTTGTTGAAGTTTTATGGGATTGTATTAATGTATGGGAAATTTTTGGGCTTTGTTCCTGGTTATGTCTTTTTTTATTTCTAAATTAAAATATTCTACTTTTTTATCATCATCATCACTACCATTACCATCCTCAGCATTATCGTTGTCATTATTATCATAAGCATGAGCATTAACTAAGAGGATATCGATAAGGAGAAATGAAAGTCAGTGGCATATCTGTAAAAAAAAAAAAAAAAAAAAAAAAAAATTGAATGATGATGACAATAATGAAAATAATAACGATAGCAAAGATAATAATTGCCATACTGATGATAATAACAACACAGGCACGTACCATTTAAACATGGCAAAAGTCGACACTAAAAAAAAAAAAAATAAATAAATAAAAAATAATAATGGTGGTAATATTTGTTATTAGCACGCAGATACGACACTAAAATTAGCAAAGCAAGGAAAATGACAATGATAAAATACGGTCAAAAAAGAATGAACCAAAAATGAAAATAAAAAGATAAAACTTACAAGAGTAGTGTGCAACTAAATAATAATATTTAATTCCATAGGCAAAACGTTCTTAAGCTATGATGGAGAAGCATTTAATAGAAAAGAAGACAAGCAAGAGAAAGGAAGAAAAGAAAGAAACACAGTGAAATAAACGGTAACAGACTATAATGACTATACAGATATATTAAATGAAATAACCGGTAACAGACTATAATGACTATACAGATATATTAAATGAATATTCTTATATATGTGAGGCTTCACATCAATACCCTCAATATGTGAAAAATTCTTACAATGAAATTTTACATTGTTGTTGGTAGCTCTTACAATGGAGTTATAAACTACATGGAAATGAAGAAATAGAGCTACACAATGAATCACTCGCATCCGATACTTCCAAATTCTAGTCTTTTATGTTCCATACAAAAATAATATCTAATTCCATAGGTTTGTAAGGCATTAGTGATCAAAATTAAGAAATAATGAAGTCCATGTGTCTTCTCGTGCCGTCTGAGATTAAATATTGC